GAGGTGTCCTTAAATCGGAGGTTATCCCATGCTAATCAGACCAGAAAATCTGCCACTTTCTTGCTGGATGCGCGTTAATTAGAAAGTCCGTTGCATGGGCCGTGTCTGTTAATTGTGTAGATGTGTGGGACAGTAAACCTCGTCTGTTATACAGAATAGAGAGGTTCTGCTATATAGAGGTTCTTTTATACATTACTCAATGGCCTTATGGCCAGGACAAGAGCAACTGTACGTTATAGAGAGGTGTCTGCTAATTAGGGGTTCGTTTTAGAGAGGTTTGACTGTACACATAAAATTGCATTTATAATTAAAAACCCAAAAACTATTACTTATTGCTAGTTTTGAGAAATACCTGGTAATGCATTATTTCCCTTTGAGAGATCACAAGAAAAAATTATCCTTGAACTTCTAGAAGGTGATTCAGTGCCTACACAAACAATAAGTAACAGGAAGTATTTTAACGCATTATAAAAGATATGGAATGAGGACACTATGCAGTAGATATGGGGTCAAATATGACTGCAATTGTAAAAAATGACTAGAAGAGAATTCTCCATATATATATATACCGTAAATGTTCAAATAAAAGCCCAGGCGTTTATTTCTTTCCAGGAGAAAAAAATTGTGTAAAATAAAAAAAGAAAAAGTAAAACTGAGATTCAAACCCAGACCTTCAGGTTGAAGGCACTCAGCTTAACAAGTTAGGCCATTTGGGACACTATAAGGATTGTGGTACTTATATTGACTAAAATATGCATATCTATACTTGAAGATTCTTAGTACCAGGCGTTTATTCAAGCCCGGCCTTTATTTGAACATTTACGGTATATATTTTTGACACACATGCATGTTCTAATGTTGCATACCTCCAAGAGAGACAGCATTATGGCAATAAAGAACTAAATTAGTGGCTATCTTCTGAGAGAGATCAAACTGGTCCTCAAATGAAGCTCCGGCCCCAAGACTCCCACTGATATTGCTCCAGCCATCAGATTCCTGTTGGGTCCACTTTGAAGGGAACATGTAAAATGGAAGGAGAGAGAGGACAAGGTTCTGCAAGTGAAGGAGGTTCGGGGTTTGGGTAAGCTTTAACATCCAGTCTTGACCTAAAAAAAGATTTAAAAATCAATTTAAAATAAATCAAAGAAAGTTCTTTATGGAGGAAAATTCATAAAAAAATTCAAAGAATGATCACAATTAAGAAATTCATTGCCACTTTTAAACTATATATGTGACCTTTATATATATATATATATGTGATCACAATTACAACTCCTTGACACTTTTAACTATACATGTAATCCTTACCTGCCCTGCACTGGCTGACTACAGCAGTAACCAGTGAGAGTTCCTGCAGAGCTGTCAAAGAGAGAGAGGAGCTTCCTTCTTTGAGGCATGAGACGAATATCTCATTATGAGAAGCAATGAAATCAATCACCTTTGAAGAGAGAAAAGGAGAGAAAGAGAGAGAGTGTGTGTGTGTAATTCATGCATGACAGATAGAGAAAAAATTAAAAGATACATAATGTTTAATAGATAAACTAATTCCTTTACTTGACTAGTTGCTTGTTTCTGCTGTGGTCCAGTGGTTGATAACAGTGAGAGAAGAAATCTCAAAACTGGCAGAAGCAATGACAAATACCTCGACCACACGGAGGGTATGAAACCTTCCAAAAACAAAAACATCAATACTCAAGCAACTGTATAGAGTACACTCACCATCTCCTCTCCCAGTGCCAGTGTGCATGGGGCGCTGATC